ATTGAACATCTTCCGGGAACGAACGGTATAAATTGCCTGCCCGAGTTCAACCTTTATCATTCACACACAGCTCAAGAGTCGATTATAAAATTTAAGAAGAGTTTAGGATTTTAATTCAAGTTTTTTAGAAAATTAATTTTCTTTAAAGGTAAGTCTCGCATCGTTAAAATCTCTTATGAAATAAAGTATTCTAACATATTGTTTGGGAACATTATAGCCTATAGATAGAATATATCTGCATGTCGAATGATCAGAATATTATATGATTTGGTAAAACAACAACAAATCCAAACATAAAATGTTATATCTCTAAAGTGTAATAATCTAAGTCAGTGTTGTATGAAAAAATGTATGGACATTGATAAAATTTTGTGTCAGGAGTATAGAAATTGTATACAGAGTGTCTGTGAACTCCTCCAAAACCTAATCAATTGGCATGTGCTCTGGGGGATATTTCCATCAAAAAAAGGTGTCGATAATTCTTTTTCAATAAAGGATTCCGCTACGTTTTTCAACAAGAACAAATATAGATATTTCCGAATTAATCCAAAATATACAATCCGGATTATGCATAAAACATCCATGTATTGGCAACAAACAAAGAGTCCAAGGGGTATATTTTTAACTTGTTTTTGTCTGCAAACACCTGTTCGAATGTTAATTACATCGTCATCGCGTTAAGGGAAAACTACAAATCAAAATTTTGATAGTCATGATAGACATACTGATTTCTTGTTCATATATAGTTGACTTTATCATAAAGTCATGATCTAAATAACAAAAATGTTATCTTTGTCCTCTGACTTATTTATATCAAACCTTCACTCGTGTCTAAGTATAGTTATCATTCACTATATATATACATGTTTTTATGCTGTGTTTTATCGCGTCATTGCAATATAGAATCGTTTTGAAACGGCTGTTTCTGAAATCTACGGTTTGCAAAGCAACAAACGAATCTTCATCGTTAGCAAAGTCGCCAAACTCATCCCGAGAGTCAGAGTAGGTTTTACAAAATATTCGCGCTTTAATAGTCGTGGTGATATACCTAACTGCGACGCGACTTTGCGATATAATTACAATTTAATGAAAATCAGTTCGCATTCAGACCAGCCTTTTTATACAAACGCGCCAAAGGGATGAGGGCGTGGCAAGAAAAAATAAGTAAAATATATTTAAGGTATATATAGTTACAGGGATGTGATATTATTTCTGTTCAGTAATCGAATGATACGAAAAATAAACCATGTCATTCTCGGCGATCTATATATATATATAGATAATATCCCTATATACTAAATAATTTAGTCAGTTTTTAGAATCACGTTCATTTTTTTATTTTTTTCTCTCAATTGAACTTTCAATATAATTAATATTAGCATGATAAAATTTCTGGATGCTGATTGGTTGAGAGGAGTACAGCTATACTTAATTAAAATAGTGCACTTAAAATGATTTTCCAAAAATAAAAAGAATGACGGGGGAGGTATATCAGTATATATGCATATACAAATGAGAATGCCCCGGGGCAACGAAATCTTGTTTTCCATTTCAATCGTATTGTAGCAAAGAGTTGCAAACATCATTGTTGCCTGGGTACTCGGCTATAGCACTATTGACTATGAAACAAAGGAATACGTAACGTTTCGCTTCAGTGCGGTTGAAATGGAAAACATTCCGACTTGGCTAAAGCTGGAACACTAAACGAAAATACCGCGGCAAAAGTACACAATGTTGGATGAAAGTCCAGCAAGACCATTGTTAGCTTCTAACGAAGTAAATTTACTGCGTCTAGCTAAAACTAACAATATTTATATACCTACAGACTAATTAAAAAAATACTGTATTTATTTGCAACGAAGTACTCTCAATTTGTACAGTGCTTTTTACTTGTAACGAAGTACAATTTTTAGGAAATATTTACTTTTTTACTTCGTTACTTTTCTTGACGAATCAAAAAGTATTTTAAAATATTTCATACAATTTATCTTGAAACGATTTATAACTTCCGTAAAGAGGTTCTCCTCCCGACAATGGCGGCGAGTTTTTAATAATTTGATTTCCACTACGTACCATTACCCTGACTACCACAGCATGCAACGGAAACTGTATATAATAGGTATATAGACCAGCACCCATGTCTCTGCTGTAGGTTAGCGCTACCGCTGCCTTTGGATGAAGTTTATTAGATTGACCAAGTCACATAGAAAGACAGTACTAAAATAGTGCTATACTGTAGTTTTCCACTGGCGTTGCATGATCAACTGAAACCATACGAGAAAAATGTGGAATCTCGGCTAAATGTCCAGTGTACAGGGCATTTTTTTAAAAAACTACGGCCTGTGTCAGAAAGGGACATCGACAAAAAAAGGGCAAAACAAGGTGGCGTACAGTGGGTTGAAAGTTGGATGACTGGGGAGGGCTTATATGCAATTCTTGCTTTGAAAAACGCACCTATGTGACATGCACTATTACTTTTCAGATGCCTTCCACAACGAGTTTATCCCGTAAATCCATCCTGGTATTCATGGTTTTCGCATTGATAGTGAATTTCACCCTTGCTTCAAGCAATGGCTGTTTGGCAGCGTGTCACAATACATTTCTGAATTGTATACAAAACGGAGATCCAGGAAAATGTTTCCAATGGAAAGTAGATTGCAACAATAATTGCAGTGGAAAACGTACCTTATTCTCACGCATGGGTTTTAAAGAAAATCCACACGATCGATTTAACTGGGATGAATAGAGAACTTCAAACGATTCCAAAAGCAACCTGATGATAGACGTACTACAATAATGACGTGATGCCTACGCAATGGAACTATTATGACGGATAGAGTTTATTTCGATAGAGATTTTGACGTAACAACCATTAGTTAAAAATTAATTAACAAATAGATACTTTTATTTTATGTCAAGTATCGTAAATAAATTATATAAAACTATAGACTATAGTCAGTTTCACATTCATCCTTAACGGGCTCAGAAGACAACAAAGTTTGCTGGCCTTGAATTCTATTTAATCCTAATTTATCCCGATATATTAATTATTCATTGCGTCAAACTTCCAAATTAAGGAGCTCTTTATAGCTACTGAAATAATTTGACCGCGTTGGTATAAGTTGGGTCAGAGTAGATATACATCTACTCTGTATTTTTTTGTTTTGGTGCTATTTCAGTACCCAATATTACTAATGCCAATAATATGATAAGATTACTGAGAAGGTTTCTAATACGTCAACCCATCACGGATGTGAACAAAAAAATTTAAAATATCTTTCTTCCGTTAGGCAATTCCCCCTTTGGTGTGTGGGTTGGCATGTAGTCTGTTATTGCCTTTAGTTTATTTGCTACACATATACATTGAGTCAAACACACTATGAAACATACACCAGGTGACCAGGAGTAAATGGGATCCGAGAAAATTCCGAGCTGAACGGTGGCTTCGGTTGAAAAGGGCAGCAATAACTAATTTTTGGTACCAGTATTTCACGCAATAGTCCGATGTTACACGAAATTTGATTGGCTCCACAAAACTATTGAGCCAATCAAACTCAGTCGTGCAACATCAGACTTTCTGCGTTGTGCGTCATTACGAAAAAGCCAAAAAGGTCTATTACAACTGAACTGATATTATATAACTTTGAAACAAATCTTTTTGCAGCTCTTCAAGGTTCGAATCCGCAGTGATTTACTTGATAACTATTAGTAACTATTTTCAGAACATTTTGAAAGGATTCATTATGATTTTTGGCATGCTTTAAAAGATCTTTCATAGAAATAAAAAGGTTTAGAAAAAGAGGTTTTTTGCAGGAAAATACAATGGCAACAAGAAACGAAATAGCAATTATGTTTCTGTTTTACATTGATGGATGATGACATTTCAGTAACCTTAAATGAAGTATTTCAATGCTAGTGCATACTTGGAATATTTCTGTGAGGAGTGCTGAATCACCCGCTTCCGTGGCGTTCGCGATTGCCGCGAAGTTGTTCAGAATTCGGCCGGCTGCTGTTGTTTTGATAAGAAAATCTTGAAATCAAGATACATTTACGTCGAGTTATTAATTTAGTATCGCATTAGAACTAGGAATCAGACACTGAAAGGCGTTATATATATATATAAAGATTGAGACGAAACCACTTCAAAATTCTTCAAAATATATACATGTCAGGCCCCATGTCTGTGTGCAGTGCCTTCAGTATTAAGACAACATACCTACATCTGTTCCAAAAAGATTAGATTTCACTAATTTTCTTAATAATGAAACTGCGTGATATTCATTTGATAATGAAACTAACTTAGCCATATATGACATAAAATATTCTGACTATTTTCATAGCTGCGTCAATGTACAGAAACACTAACGTGATTACAGTCTGTTGCTTTTGCTGTTCAGGGTATAACAGTGTCTGTAACACGGCCTTAGCCATACCGATGAGAAAAATTCATTTAAAATGTATGGGCGAGTTTTATTAGACAGTAGACATGCAGATGGCCAGATTAACCAGTGTCTATCCGAGTGAGAAATGATGTTAACAATAATTATAATATCAAACACAGAACGTTTACTTCAGTTTCAATGTTTCTGTGAGCGTGAATATTTCCGAAGCTGAGCACTATCGCCACTAAATGCTGTTTGGCAAAACTTATTGAAACAAATTTAAAGAAAAGGTTAAAAGATAATTACAGTGTGAAACTCCACGCAATGTTATTGTGTGTTTGGCGAGTAAAAGGGATTTGTGGCTATTGAAAATCTATGAAGTGTGACTGAGCCAGTCAATCAAAATGCAAAGAATATTCAGTTGTTATGCAAGATCAAAGCATGACACAATATTTTACATAATTATGCCATGTTGCTTGTTCACTAGTGCAGAACAGATTTCACTACCGCTCTGTTCTACACTATCCACGTTATCAAAGTAGAAACGCACAAAAATTTCATTTATACCATACATACAGACTCTGAACATCCAGGTGAGTACACGGTCAGTGATATTTCATGTTAACTACCACAATGCTCACCAAACAAGCAACCAAAGTTAAGCTTTGAATAATAAAGCTTTAAGTGTTTAGATCAACAATGGCATCGTCACCTCCCATCAACATCTCAAATTCTTCCAAACATCACTGATTTTGGGAATGTTAACACACAAACTGTACGTAATTTGTCTCTTAAGGTTATTTCCAGCTTGAAGACAACAATACTACGGTGAGAAAGTGAGATTTTGGGAAGAAATTCTGGTATAGGCGGACGTATTAACCGTCACTTAAATGTAGTGAAGATCTTATGTCGTCATAGCAAATTGAGGCTAAGTTGAGGAAGTTCACGTGAAATGAACGAAACACGAAGTCTCGGTATTCAATGTGAGAGCAGTAAGAGCACAGGTGTTCAGACTAAGCGACTTTCAAAAGAAGGTAGGATTAAGAATTGTGTGAAGGTTAACATCATGTAATTTATATTAGGGCTGTACCAGTACAATATCAAGAAGGATATGTCTGGTATGTATATTGGTACAGCACAATTTTGACTCTGGAATGGTCAAAGTTCTTATTCAGTAGTGAAAAACGTGCGGTATTTCATGAAGAAATAAACATAACCTATATTGACTTCCCCCCGTTTTACTATAAGACGGCTGAAGCTATATGCGTGTTCATGCCAAACGACAAACCCAGCGCCAGGAGAAAACAAAACTGTGGTTGGTATGAACTCAGTGCTTTAAACTGAAATCGATAATAACACTTTTGAGCAAGAAGGAAAATGCGAATAGACGAACTTATAAGTGAAAAATGTACAACGCGGAAAATATGCTCTCCGAGCGTGATGCTTGCTTGTCCTATTGACTGCTCCCTACACATTACAAAGAGCAAACAGCACAGGTTTACCGCCATGCATGAAAATTGCCCTATAAAAGATAAAATCTTTATTTAAGTTTTATCATTCCTAAAAAATGTAGCTCAAACAAAATAATGCAGAGTGGAATATAACCCTATATCTATGATTAACATGCTTACTAGACAGCTATACTGACACATTAGTAGCCTTGCATGGTAAAAAGTTGAAGTCGTTTGTACAGCTGAAAACGTCGGAAATTTACTCTATATGCTATTTCTCAAGTTCAAGTATAATTATATATATATATAGTAAGGAACGCATTGAATTTAATGGCGAAACATGTCTGCATAACTACATTTTGCGATGCATATAGTTGTGTTCAAGACTGCGTGTGGTCGAAATTTATACAGTGCTTATTCTATAGAAAAATGTCTATGTAATAATAACTGTTTAGTAGATGTATGGCAATGAAAACTATTATTTTAGAAAACGCGGTTACTGACATTCAGCAGCATGTCGTCAGTTAAGTACATGGTCATAGATTTTACTCTGGTTTTTATTAGCGTGGGAACGACATCCCGCCGACAGTTTGAAAAAAAACTAAGAAACGAACCGAATTCCGGAGGAAAAGTCATCTTGATGAAGATCATATATATGAATTTGAACTTAAATATATTAAATAAATTGATGTTACCTTTATTCTTCGAAATTGTCTCGTGCAGTATATATATAACAGTCAAATGCTTAGCGGGGAGACAAATAAATGTGTATATTTACTTCGATTTTCTTGTTTCTTGCAATTTTTCTGTAATATTGCATGCGATGTTCTCTTACTGCGAATAACAGCTGGGTTACAAATTGTTCGAATAAGGGCATTCGCTCATTTCCATCTATCAAAACGAACGTATTAAAACCGGCCTTGACCGCGTAACTGTTGTCTAGCTTGTGACGCTTCATTGGAAGCTATATTAATACGAGTTAGTCAGCAAAATGCATTCGCATGCATGCAATAACTAAACTAAACCCGCATGAACCGTTTGTTTAGAGCTACGTTATTACACGAAAATCGTGGAAAAAGAGAAGCAAGTTTTGTTATGCTATATCAATGCAGCAAGAGAACACCCGGTGCTGAGGCAGCCTCATTACAGAGTGAATCTGCTACCAACACAGACAAAGACACATAGTCATAGAAATAGCCATGGCACACGCAAGAAGCGTAAGAGTAAAAATAACAAGAGTAAAACAAAAGGAAAGGATATTGATTTTGGCGATCAAGAGAACACGAGTCATTATGTCTCTAAGATTGTCGTAGATGATGCTACGCACTGCTTGAAGCTGCGAGTGAAGTCTTGTAATCCGAAGAAAAGTCAGGAGTTGAAGGAGCTCAACAGCCTTCCCGTGCAGCCCGAGAGAACGCGATCAAGAAAGGCAAAGCAGCCAAGAAGATACAACAGGGGATCGGAGTTGACAGAACTTGAAAATATGGATGGTGATATGAATGAGGTGGAAAATAAGTCAACTAATTGGGTGAGATTATTGAGATAATATTTTAAAATTTCAAGATTCAAACGCTCTCTCATGCACGTACCTGTGGTGGACATTCAGGAATATGTTGGTAGCGACGTAGTGCATGGTCATAATACACACTTTCACTTGAAAATTTTCAAACATTGTCAATGTAGCATTGTTGTACAAAATCTCTATATAGTAGAATACGATGTTACGGTTAACGATAAGTCACTGATGTGTATAATTAAAGTGCAGCAAGTAACCGCATATTTCTCCTAGCTAACATGCATGGTAGCGTGTATATGGTTAGTTCTGAAGAGTTAGTTTTCAATGAGGCGAAAAATCGTAATGATGAAGCAATCTCAAGTCGATGACTGATATCGGGGTTTTTACCTCTTTGTCTGCACAACAGACTAAAGGCCTATTTAAACTACACGATAAGTTGTATGCAATTATCATTCTGAGGAATGCAAAATAGTGCCTTTGCCACTAACAATCTTTATTCAGTTTTGTTCAGTTTAGAATTTAAGGTGTCAGATTTGTACGTGTGTTCATACATTCACATACGCCAGGGTACGAATCGTATACGACAAATCGCATAGTGTAAATGGGTCTTAACAAGTAACGCGAAAACCGTATTTATCACTATAATTTCTTTCATTTTACACAAAATTATCTTGTTTTAGGAGTCGTTATCATCAAGCCAACAATCTCTCGAGCAAAACAGAGAAACAGCAATTCCAAAACTGGAACTTACGAAACCTAAAAGTAATATCATCAATGAAAATGAGGTGAATAAAATTCCGACATCACCCGGCATTACAACCCTCAAAACAATATCAATCAAAGCCGAAGATGAAAGTACAGACTGCTTATTCGCTAATAAGAAATCACATGGCAACCGTTCGAGCTCTCATTCGTCCCCACTTCCAACAATGACGTCACTACTTCCCCCAGTCCCCTCAGATGAAGGCTCCCCGGATTCCGACTCCCATTATCAATCACCAAATGAAGATTCTGACGACAATCAATCTGTTTGTTCCGAGGAATTTTTCATCGTGGAAACACGCAAAGATAAGCTAGATGATACAAAAAAGCCACATTTAGTGAATATTGAAATGACAAAAGAATCAGAATGCTATGATGGCTTAAACAAGACAAATATGGAACAGACAGATAGAAATTTAAGAAACGAACTTAAAAAACGACTTCAAGCCAACATTGACCGTAAGTCAGTTGACGACAATCAATATGAAAACATGAATACCGAGAATGGAAAAGAAACTGCTGCAAGTGAACCCACCAGAAATATGCCAAGAGTATTGCCGCAAGTCGTCACCGTTCATTTCAATGACACTCAAACACACAGCCAAAAAATAAATGCTGCAGATTCGCACACTCCATACAACGCCTATCCTATGGTTCGAGATCCATCAACCCTACCTTACGCCAAACCATTTTCAACAACTTTACCGTACTCAAAGCCACCCGCAACAACCCTAGCCTATCCTAAGTTATCCGCAACGACCCTAACCCATCCGGAGCCAACCCTACCCCACACTAAATCATCCCCTATGACCATACCTTACAGTATGCCACCCTCTGCTGCCCTACCTTGCCCTACGTCGCCTACAAAGGCCCAGCCTTATCATATGGTACCTACACATACAGTTCCAAAACCATTCACTGCAGCCTCAATACCGCGACATCCAACCGTACCCCAAACATCCCTACCAAGAGTCCCACCGATGAACCCCCCATATCCACCATATTACACTACCAATGCCACTGGGAACTATAAACAACATGCTACCTATCAAATTCCTCTACCAAACGCGCGGACGTTCCAGCAGGAAATTGATGAAAACAATGAAACCCTCAGGGGAGATTATGTTGGCTTTATTCCATCACAGGTTCCTCCACACTTCTTGGGATCACCAGAGGACAGGAGAAGCATGAGGGAAGTTGTATCACTTAATCCTGCAAAACAAGTAATTCCACATACGCCGGAAGCTTGCGCTAATGGTGTTACGACCAATGAGGGCTCGCCATCAACTACCTGCGATCCAACTGATGTTAGATTACACCCCCTTGAAATTTCTTCCAACAACAGCACAAACGAAGGGGTTGCAATAATTAACCCTACTAATTCAAAAGAAACTGGAAATTCGGAAATCATTGAACTTGATAAACAAGGCCAAAAAAGAAAACGTTTTATCTTTGGCTCTCACGAACCACCAAAGAAGAAAGTAATATCATCCCTACTTACCCCACTTTGCCAACGAGAAGCGACAAGATTGGCTGATGGGATACATGAAATTAACATGCAGTATTTTCCTCTTCGTTCATTGGCTCAGAAAGCAGCTAATCGTGTCTCAGGAGATACTGACGACGTGCTCAAACTGATTGAACAAAAGATGCAACTCAAGACAAAAATCCAGGATGTTGAAAAAGCCAGGTACGAAATTTATGAGCTAAGATAATAGGGCTGCATAAATTATGCTGGCAGGCAGGCAGGCAGACCGCCAGCCAGACAAAAGGATAAAGCTTGTGTAAACTTGTTGCTTTATCATAGTCCGTAAACTGTACAGACAGTAATGCTTACGGCTTCTCAAGTAAATACCGTTCAGAAGGTTTCTTTTCTCATGAATGGCATGCTTTCACAATTTATAGGAATCTCCTCAAAGATATCTACGACATGGTGTTAAAATCCAAGGAAATTGAAGACATTCAGAATTTCGAGTTGGTCTCCCATAATTTTGGTGTGAGAAATATTTTAAACCATCTCAGCTTGGTTGACCTATATTTCGGAGAACTTGGCACTGAGTTACAATCCAAGATATAAAGCTTCATAATTAAAAATTGACTATTATGGCCAGAACGATGCGACGATCTTATAAAAGTGGCAAATGTATTATATTTTCTACCTACATTTTCACATAATTTTGTTATTACTTATTTAGTTGTTTTGTGGAGAAGTCGCATTTATTAATTTAAAGTTTGATATTGATAGTCTGTTGTGTGTCGGCGGTTGTTGCAAGTTGGTGTTTGCACATTCTTCATCCGTGACTCTGTTAAGAGTTTCAATATGTATTTGTTTTTCTCAAGTCAAGTAAAATTTTCAAGAACTTGATGCTACATTAGTCATATAATATAGTGATATAATATAATATAAAAATACAAAAAATAGCGGCAACAAATCAATTATAATTTTCAAAAATAATCAATGGTATATGTGCGCCAAGTTGATTACTTTCCATGCCTAAATACACTAAATTGATCCTTGATATGAGATTAGGGTAAGGATTAGATATTACATTGGGTTTAGAGTTGATAAGGATTAACACTAATCTTAAATTTAATCCTAACCTAACCTCTCGAATTCAATTTGTGTATTTAGGATTTATTGAACATGGAATTATTACCTCGCTTTCATTCATGTTAGTGTACATCAATGTATCATAACTATAAGTGGAATGCTAAATTGCTATTGTTCCAGTCGATGAGCTGATAATACACGGAATATACGCCTGTATTCAAAAGGCTCACTCATACTCACACCCATTGAGTGTGACATTGAATTTTTTTCATTACTGATCTAAGAGAAAGTTATTTCTTAGTCAGTGGAAAGATCTATGGTGAAACAATAAAAATCAAGCTCTTAGAGTGAAAATACCGTCATGGAAAACAGGCGATAGCAAGTATATCAACTTGTATTAGGCTGTGGATCTTTAGAAAGTCCTGTCGGATGATAATGACACCTCCACATAGGGTGCATCTTTCAGGAGCTCGTTTCTTCTAGCTTTATTTTGATAGGTACCATTTTCATAGGTACAGTTGCTACATCTGACTTTTGATTGGTTAAATGGATTTTCCTAATTTATGTGTAATTGGCGGAATATTTTGTAGTTATTCCGAAATAGAAATGTGGGTATTTTGAATGGCCGATCCCAGGGCCTTTCCTCTTCTTGTCGTAAAGACCCTGGGAACGAGGTTGACATCTGTTATCCAGTGTATGACATGTCATAAGTGAGACGACCTGGGCCTGCTGTTTTCATGGTTATTTATTCAAGTTAACTCAAAGTGCCGACAGTTAAGGACAAATATATTTTCCAAGGAACTTAATTCACAATATTACTATGTGATGACATCGTTTTTGTGGACAAAACTTTATTTTAAATATGTATTTCAAATACCAATAAAGCAACCTTACGAGTTATGTTATCACCAGGTAATTACTATAAACTCGACACTATATCAAATAACATGTATTTTATTCCTATTTCATTTTTAGCACTATATAATCCATTATCTATGATCAATCACACAGGGCTTTGCTTTCATTGCCAAAAATACAGGGGCTAAAACCAAAACCTCCTTGTCCGCCCCCGTGGTCTTCAATTTCATATAAAAATTTATATGATGCGTCAATCATGGCAATGTTCATTTTACGATTGCATGAAAGGTTTGTTGAATCTAACGGTCAAAATGGTCAGACCGGTCATATTTTGAATTGAATTGAAACAGAGTATTTCGTTAAGAATATTGCAGTGAAACTGCATTTTCCGTGCTAAACAAATATAAATAACGATATATACTTGAATGCAAGGTTCTTGAAACACTCGAAATACCAGTGGCAGTGATCTGTCTGTACCGAAATACAACAGGACCGGTCTGGCCGTTTTAACCGTATAAAGGAAAGCGCACTAAAAGGAAAGCGCACTAAATATATATGAAACAATCAAAGTATTTTTAGACGTCTTATGCCCCACTCTACACACAATTCACACAAAGAAAGAATATGTAATGAAGCCAATGGTTAAAACAAAAAAAGTCTGTTCTAATGTTTTTAAATCCTTTCAATATTTAATTAAGTTATACGCTGTGTTAAAGTCTTCGAATCAAGTTTCAAAAATTATAAAATGCAAGTTAACTGTTCACAATTTATCATGAAATTTTCAAGAGGTGGAAGAAGCGTTTCTTCAAGCGTTATCAGTTTATTTCTCTCCACAAGTAGCACCTCTCACATCTTTTATCTCGTTTCCTTCATTTCCTCCAGGACTTCCTGTGTTCTCTTCAATTTCATCCTTATCCATCAGCAAGTTTTCCTTTCCCAATTTGAACTTGGTTACATCTTGGCTTTTGATTGGCTCAGACTGACTCTGTGCAGAACAGTTGACAGTTTGTTCCTTGATGTTCCTATCTTTATGCCCGTTAAGATTGCTTGCACAATTGATTCTCTTTTCGCCAATTTCATCCACGTTTTTAACTTCTTCGTTCCTATCATTCCTATCATCAATACTTCCACTTGAAACTCCGCTGGAATTGCTTGTATTGTTTGAGTAAGTTTCATCCACCTTCTTTAGCTTCTGCACCTTTTTAGAATCATCATCACCAGAAGCATTATTTTCATGTCCATTCAACTTTCCGTCGACTCGAACAGAGTTATCGTTACGTATGTAACTGGCAATCACGTTGTTGGCGGAGCTACTAGGTTGCCCACTGGCCAAACAAATTCCCAGATTTGGCAGAAACTTAGCTATGCCCAGCTTCATATCTTTGGAGCGCGCCACGAACAACCAGGGATTGAGGCACGAATGAAGTTGAATTAACAGATTAATGATTTTAATCCATTTGTGATAGACAGCGTGGTCGCCTCCAAGCCAACGGTATTGTAAACGGTATACATTGACGGGTAGCCAGGATACTACATACACTGCAAGTAATAAACCAATAGTTTTGGCAGCTTTGTTCGAGTTATGACTTGTACGTGATTGTGCGACATTCCGCCCGGCATCATCATCACGTGGGTGGTTGTGTTCCAAGGATCGATTCAATTGTTGTATCCTTTGGTCTTGATTTCGTGCGATGATGTATATCATGAGTTGTACCAGGATTGTGAGGACGAATAGTGTCGCAATTAGAGCCAAATAACCATCTCTCACGATCACGATGTTATGGAACCTTACAATCCCGATGCTGATACACACCAGCCATATACCGAACACCACCGCGCTGGTTATACTTTTTGTTATATTGCTGGCGTAAAAGTAGGGATACTTAATTAAGATGTACTTATCTAGTGTAGCGAAGAATAAACTAGCAGTACCCGTGAGGATACACACTAGTTGGGCAGCATGAATATAAAACATGCCAAAGATGGTGATAACTGTTGATGGAAACTGATAGTAACAAACTTGAGGTTGAACTATACAGTTATATATGAGATCAGACAAGAATAAACTGAACATGTAAATGAACATGTTCTGCTTGAGACCAACATATTTCAAAAGGATGAACATCACAAAAAGATTGCTCACACCTCCTACGAATGAGAAGGACCCGCTGGCGACTGTATATGGCATGGCAAAGTCCAGGGACCTCGTTGATCGCCTCTGACGACGCGTCACACCACTGGCGTTTGATGAAATGTTGGCTATTTCCATGATGACCTAAGTAGGATAAGATGGGAAGGGTAATACCAGCCTTGGCACTATAACACCAACTAATAATGCACGTTTCCCTCGACTATCCTGAAAAATCGCTATCGCGGAAAACCAAAATTAAATTCATATTTTTGGAAAGATCCGAAACAGCCGTCAGTCATCTCTGATGTTCGACTAATCATTAACATGTATAAAATCATGTACATTGTACAGTACACAGGGTGTATAAAAAAGGTAATCCAACTTCAACACACTTTTATTCATGAACTACTCAGCCTATGATCGTGAGCGACAGTTTAACATTCGGAAAGAGCAATCTTTTAAGTCTGAAATGACACATTTTCAGTGCCAAATGGAGTAAAAATGAGCAAATACGACGGTGATAAAATGTTGGTCAGAATTGCGTGTTTTCACCGCTGGCTTTGAGCCTAATTAAAGTTGTGACCGCTCAATGGAATCCGCTACGATCTACTTCCCACAATTGAAAAGGAAAATTAAGCTAAAATTTCCTTCGATCGAAAAATCCTACCTAGTGGAAAACCACTTGAAAATCTGAAAAAATATCCTTTCGGCCTTGCTTTCCCCAGCGGAAGAAAATCTTGTAAAAACGCATAAATTAGAACAGAATTATTTTCGAAACGTTTCGATGTTATACAGCCGGGTGTAGAAAATGCAATCTAAGGTCAGCACGTCATTTGGCGCAAATTGTTGTCTATATGGCCAGGTGCAATATCCTACACATCAATTAAGATAGATTATATAGGTTTTAAAGCTAGAACCTTCCTCGTATCCAATGGCGAAAAACAAGCAAATATATTATTTCGATCCAAAATGCATGGTGGAAATAATTTTCCCCTTACAACTGTGTGATAGAGAGAAATGGTAAAAGAGTAACCTGCCAGGAAGACGGACATTAAAAAGGGTAAGCGTTTCAGCATTTTTTGTTCGTTTGCCTGCATGACATGACCGTCTGTCCGATACACCTCGCAGGCTATTGAAAGCGATGTGCGCAAACAAATTAAGCAAGCATGCATATAATTTGATTTAAATTTTTTTTCACTTACGTAATTCTAAGGGGTGAGAAACATTGTGCATTGCACCAGGATTTTTGTCCAAACGACCGAACCGGTGATTTGCCTAATTTACATGCTGAAGCTGGATTACACTTTTATGCAGTCGATATTGCGTTGATATATTTTATTAAAACGTATTTGTCTATATTGACTATACTGCGGTTGTACCAAAAAGGTACCCTCCATTAAAATAAGATCTTTTGTATTTACTGTGGGTTGTGGACATTTCTGCATGGGAATTTAATCAAGTGTATGGCAAAATAATCATAAGTTCACGTAACTTCCCGATCGGCCAAATAACATAACACGGCGAAAATGAGAAACTAATAACAAAAATACGTAAAGGTTTTTTTTTCTTTATATAACTATACTTTTCTTTGCGATTCGATATCTTCGTATATTGCTTGTGAAGCTATTATAAATTGCCAAAAGTATAACTATACAGGTTCACAACGAAATATATATATTATTTCAATAGAGGGTATACTTTTATGGGCACACCCGGTATGTAAAAGTGTTAACGTTATTTTTCTCGCTAATACTAATTTATCAATTACAAAAAGTGACAACTACAAATTTTTCAAACTGTGCACGGCTTAACTTTTATTGAGCTGCATGTGTATATATATATGGAACATTTCGCATCTAAAACATTTTCAATCCAACCGAATTTTCAATGCTGACCAGAGCGGCATGAATCGCCCAGGACTTTGGATTTTCCTAGTTCAAAACTGAGTTGATTTAAGAGGGAACGGTGCATGTATTTTGAATTCACAGATATTTCTCTCTTGCAGGTGTTTACATGCATACACTGACACAGATTATACCAGACTATGCAAATTTGTATGGGGACTACTACTTCAAAATAAGATAATGAAAAAAGATATGAAGACAAAACCATAAAACATATTATATAGAAGTTATTACATATAGAAAATATTAATATACCTTTTTCGTCAAATTTTGCCTTTTTTAAAAAAGATATGCAGACAAAACCATAAAACATAGAAGTTATCAGATATAAAATATATTAATATACCTTTTTCGTAGAATTATGCCGAGAGTTATTACAAAACAAAAGTAAAACGAATATGTAAAATGATATATATAGCACAAGCTGTGGCTATAACACTCCGGTGTGATCGATCAATCTGTTATGTATGCTGCATTCTAGGTCGTCAGCAAACGCCTGACTTATATATATGCATGCTGTACCCAAATGACCACACTCATTAACGATCAATGCGTCAAACTTGTCATCTAGCCAATGGAATAGCGGTCAAATCTAGATGCTAATATCATGAACGCATTAAACGTACAGCTGCTTCATGCATGCACATTCAGGCCTGGAGTGACATGATTAACCATTGCCTTTCACGTGTTCGGCACATGCAGAAATAAAATAAAAAAATTAAGAACAAGCAATATTTAGCACGATTTTAGCCACAGTATTTCGGCATGTAACACTAGTAACATATGCATCACCGGCCGTCTAATATATAATAATATACTGCATGGTTTATCTGATAAAACTGACCGTGAGACGATATCTATAAACCAAGCAGCGCAATAACTATGATATCTGACTATCTGGTGAGGGAGATTACTTCGCGTTGACTAAAAAAGGAGATTTAAGTCATCATGGACATCATGCAGAGGACCTTTTTTACACCAGATAAATAATCGTTCTCGCTCTTATTATGGCATTTATAGCCTAAAGATAAAGCTATATCGCCTATATGCAACAATATTGCTTCCAAAATTTATAAGCTAATGAGAGTTATTTTAACTTATAGGTAACAAAAAACTGCATTCGAAGCAGGAAAATCGCCCTTTACGCATCGTGATTTTCAATAAATTATATGCGTCACATGTGATCGGCTTTACTCCTGGGTGCCCTGTGTCGCTGAATTATAAATAAAACCGAACAAGAAAACAAACCAGCCCAAAATTGAAACTACTACACCAAAATATCCGAAGGGTATTGTGCGTGCTGTGTTATAGGAGGGAAGAAACCTGCCCTGCGGTCGGTTGTATATCAAGCCGCGTTAAGCTTAAATAACACTCTTACATCTCTCTTGCATGAGTCAACTTGAATATTATACACTTAATGTATGCTCCTGAGGGAAATAGTGAGCTTTGTTTTTCCAGGAGTCTGAGAAAGGGAAACATTGAGACTCGAGTTAAAACAAAACTCACTATCAGTTCCCGAGGTATAGTGTACATTAAGTGTTTTGTTATATAGGAACAAAAACATATGTTATATACACAACAATTTCATTTAAAAAAACCCAATTTACTTTGTTATGACAAGAAGCGGGCAACAATTTTTCACTTCTTTCCCTTTGCATTTATTTTACGTCATGTGACTACGAATGACCCAATCACATTTAAAATACACAACACCTATATAACAATATGCATTGAATATGTAGTTGTAAACAGTATCGTTGTGTTAAGGCTAAAAACATTTAGTTTGCTTGTTGAATAAAACGATAGGCTTGCTTTCTATTTTGAACTTAACCACCGTTTAAGCTAAACGGGCTTGATACAACCCCCTGGGGCAGGTTGTATCAAGCCCGTTTAGCTTAAACGGTGGTTAAGTTCAAAATAGAAAGCAAGTCTATCGTTTTATTCAACAAGCAAACTAAATGTTTTTAACCCAAAGATACTGTTTACAACTACATATTCAGTGCATAATATTCAAGTTGACTCATTCAAGAGAGATGTAAGAGTGTTATTTAATTTTTACTTATCCACTGTTTAAGCCAAACGGGTTTGATACAACCGGTCCCTGATCTTTTTCTTTCAAACGAATCAAAATGTATATTGCATGATAACACAGAACACCCATGCAACTGGCCGATACACTGACAAAAGTATATAGAAATAATTGTTCGGTACTGCTGCTGTGGGGACGTTCACGCATAGAGTTGATTTTAGGTAGTTCTCAGTTCGATTTGCCTAAAACCATTTTATATTTTGGGTTTTAAGAACATTTGTACTACACAGGATCGATGTCGCTTCATGCTGTGCATGTCAACAGCCGGGGAATCGTTTCCATGCATCTCATACGGATGATTATATGTTCAGACACAGATTATGGCAACTTTATGTTGCATTTGACTTTCTTAACTCGGCCTATATACACGATGCGATTAGTCGTATACAATTCTTATTCTGGCGTGTGTATTCGAATATATGCGTGTAAATGTGTCCTATTTTAAACTTCGTTATAAACTTATGAACAGAAAGAGTGGCGTCAGCAATCGTTTTCATGCGTCAGGATAAGATCGTATATATAGCCTACGATTAATCGCTCGCGTAGATCGGTCTTTAATATTTCACTGTACATGCATGCATAGGCTGAATTGTTGCCAAAATCATATCAATTTGAGCCATAGTTATGCTGCATGAATGGAAACCATTTTGGCCACTTTATCACCACTTCTTGGCAGCCCTGCATGGGCGAGCTAATTCATTACATTAGTTTTTCCCGCCTCCAGTTATATAAGTATCTTTCAACCCACTTGCACATCGCCACGAAAAGCTTAATCACTTCTATTGTTTAGGGTAGGGAGCGTTTCGTGCGTTATCATGCAAGATCGTTTCATTATCCTTATTCAACATTTATGCCGAAAGAGGGAGACCTCAGGTCATCAATAAACTTGATATACAGCTAGATTAAAAGGGCCAGGATATCCATTGCACATCAATAAATGTTTCATATTGGCCTTTTATACAGGTGCTCGTGCACCTGTCGTACACCTGTCGTACAATATCAAGCAAAAAATATGAACTATGTGAACCTGACTAGTAAATTTCGTGAAATTCGCACGGTTAACTTGCGCCTAAGCCAAGCCAGTTTGCAAATCCGAAGAGCGAAAATTGTAAATAAACTATATTTGAAAAATCGACAGGTATATTATACTATTATATATAGTTTAGCATCAAATGTGGTACAACAACTGCCTTATACCACATTTGATGCTG